GGAAGTATAACTATTATATATTCCTGAATAGCAGTTTTTCCATATTAAAACATCCTGAGATTTATTTATTTATTATTTTTTTTCTTTTTGAGACGGAGCCTCAAGCTATCCCCCTGGGTAGAGTGCCATGGCCTCACAGCTCACAGCAACCTCCAACTCCTGGGCTCAAGCGAGTCTCCTGCCTCAGCCTCCCAAGTAGCTGGGACCACAGGCACCTCCCACAGCACCGGCCATATTTTGGTTGCAGCCGTCATTGTTTGGTGGGCCTGGGCTGGGGATTCGAACCCGCCACCTTAGGTGTATGTGGCTGGCACCTTAGCCGATTGAGCCACAGGCGCCGAGCCCGTGAGATTTATTTTAAAGGCCCCTAATTTTTTTTTTTTTAAGACAGTCTCATTTTGTCTTCCTTGGTAGAGTGCTGTGGCATCATAGCTCATGGTAATTTCCAACTCTTGGGCTCATGCGGATTCTCTTGCCTTAGCCTCCCGAGTAGCTGAGACTACAGGCACCCACAACAACGCTTGGCTGTTTTTAGAGATGATGTCTAGCTCTTGCTCAAGCTGGTTTCCTACTTGTGAGCTCAGGCAATCCACCTGCCTCCACCTCCCAGAGTTCTAGGGTTACAGGTGTGAGCCACTGCACTTGGCCTTTACATGCTCTTAATGTTGATTATGTAAATATTTTTATTTGGGCTCAAATTTGAATCATGCAGAAATATGTGTCTTATGTATACAATAAAGGTTTGTAATATTGAGACAATGTTTATAATGGTAATTAGAATAGCAATGCTTAGTGCTGGGCCTGCTTGTTAGAATAAATCTTTGGAATTTTATTTGATGTTTTATATTAGAGAAACGAAAAATAATTTTGATCCTTTGTGGAAAGGATTTTAGGTCAAGAGTAACTATTTCTGGCTGGATGTTTCTCACCTCTGTAATCCTAGCACTGTGGGAGGCCAAGGTAGAAGGATCACAGGCGCTCAGAAGTTCAAGACCAGCCTGAGCATGAGCAAGACCCCATCTCAACTAAAAATAGAAAAATTGGCATGTGCCTATAGTCCAAACTACTTTTGAGGCTGAGAAAAGAAGTTGTTGAGCCCAGGAGTTTGAGGTAGCAGTGAGCTATCATGATGCCACAATATTCTATCTGGGGTGACAGAGTAAGACTATGTGTCACAAAAACAAACAAGGGCGGCGCCTGTGGCTCAGTGAGTAGGGGGCCGGCCCCGTATACCGAGGGTGGTTCAAACCCGGCCCTGGCCAAACTACAACAAAAAATAGCCGGGTGTTGTGGTGGCGCCTGTAGTCCAGCTACTTGGGAGGCTGAGGCAAGAGAATCACTTAAGCCTAAGAGTTAAAGGTTGCTGTGAACTGTAATGCCACGATACCCTACCAAGAGTGACATAGTAAGACTCTGTCTCAAAACGGGGGGGCAGGGGGGGCAGCGCCTGTGGCTCAAAGGAGTAGGGCGCCGGCCCCATATGCTGGAGGTGGCGGGTTCAAACCCAGCCCCAGCCAAAAACTGAAAAAAAAAAAAAAGTAACCATTTACTCACACTTTTCTTTTTCTTTTTCTTTTTTGAGACAGAGTCTTACTATGTTATCCTTGGTAGAGTGCTATGGTGTTATATCTCACAGCAACCTCAAACTCTTGGGTTTAAATGATTCTCTTAACTTGGCCTCCCAAGTAGCTGGGACTACAGGCACCTGCTGCAATGCCTGGCTATTTTTTTGTTGTTGTTGTTGCAGTTGTCATTGTTGTCTTAGCTAGCCCAGGCTGGGTTCGAACCTGCCAGCCTCAGTATATGTGGCCAGTGCTGTAACCACTGTGCTATGGATGCTGAGCCTCACATTTTCTTAAAACCAATAAATTGGAGCAGTTACTGGAGAAAAATTTTGAGGATATAGTTACGTTTATAGCTGTTCTGCTGACTTAATTCCGTATGACTTAAAACACCCAAAGATTAGTTAATAAGCTAATTTACAAAGTAGGCTTAGAGAATAGAATATGTAGGGCCAGATGCAATGACTCATGCCTGTAAATCCTAGTACCCTGTAGGCCGAGGCAGGTGGATTGCCTGAGCTCACGAGTTGGAGACCACCCTGATCCAGAGCCAGACTTGTCTCTAAAAAAATAGCTGGGCATTGTGGGTGCCTGTAGTCCCAGCTGCTTGGGAGGCTGAAGCAAGAGAATTGCTTGAGCCAAAGAGTTTGAGGTTGCTGTGAGCTGTGGAAGCCATTTCACTGTACTGAGGGTGACAGTGAGAATGCCTCAAAAAAAGAAAAATTAGAATGTGTGGTATGATATTTTATCACAAATAATTAAATTTCATTTCTATGTTTATTTATTCACAGTTAATAGTTTAAACTTCACGGCTGGGCGAGGTGGCTCACACCTGTTATCCTAGCACTCTTGGGATTGGAAGGAGGGAGAATTGCTTGAGGTCAGGAGTTTGAGACTAGCCTGAGCAACAGCGAGACCGCCATCTCTACTAAAAATAGAATAACTAGTCAGGCATTGCGGTGGGCAGCTGTAATCTCAGCTACTTAGGAGGCTAAGTCAGGAGGATTGTTTGAGCTCAGGAGTCTAAGGTTACCATGAGCTAGGCTGAGGCCATGGCACTCTAGCCTGGGTGACATAATGGTTTGATCTGCATTATTTGATACTGGAAAGAAAACATAATGCCATCTATATTTTTAATATTTTGCAGTCCTCGTTACAATATTTGTTACATTAAGAAACACTCCAGGCTCAGCGCTTGTGGCTCAAGTAGCTAAGGCACCAGCCACATACACCTGAGCTTGCAGGTTCAAATCCAGCCTGGGCCTGCCAAACAACAATG